AGGATGAACAAAAACTAAATTTTCCAAATGTTAAGCTAAACAACCAAATCATATTTAAAAAAAAAAAAACAGCTACATAAATAAATAGGCTTAGGTTCAACCCAACTGCTCATTTTCTGCAGCGAAGTGTCACAACCGGCCAAATTTGGATGGATTTATACATTTCACACTCGCTTGTTAATTAAACCTATCCTCATATGCCTGTGACAACACAAAGCAATGAAACATGATTAGATATTGGAACAAAAGGCAGGCTTTGGAAATGTTTCCGCGTAAAATAGCATTAGGCTGGGTCTCATTTTGCACCAGTTAGACGGCGTACATAATCAGGATTAACTTTAGCATGATGGGGGAAAAAAAAAAAGAGAGGGAGCGACACAGGGAGAGGAAGAGTGAGAAGAGTGGGGAGAGACGATACACCCCCAAAGTCACTCTTCTTGCTGGTAGAGAGGAGCACTGGTGCAGTTATAACCATGTAATGAATATGTAAGAGGCACATTTGTTTCTATATTAAATATAGTCCACAGTGTTGCCTTTGTGTTTCTAGAATTATTCATGTAAAAATAAATACCCAAATGCCATGTAATGTATGCTAAAGACTTTGTGTAATAAGCTGTCCAATTTTGTTTCTGCTGAATTAGTGATTAAATATTTAATATGGGCTTGTTTTAAATTTGATTTAGAAGGCACACACATGGATATGGAGCATTATTTCACCTCATCTACCCCCATTATAACAGTAAGTGCTGGATTTTCTTGCACAAAGACAAGCTAATAACTACCTTTACATCCAGACTTATGCATGAGAGTTAAATAAGCCTGTTACGTTATGGTGTTGCACAGTGGTTATGCTATATTGTAAATGTAAGTAGCCAAATAAGCCAAATGGAAGATTTTGATGAAATACAAGAAGTAGGTTTAGTACCAGTGTTCTGCTGCATTCTGCCTCCAAGTTGTGAAGGACAGAAGGGATTTCTTCACACTCTCACAGTTTGGTATCTGCTGTAAAGTGAGAACACACTCAAGCTGACCAGGGTTGGAATAACTTCTCCATGTGGTGAAACAGCCCTCAGCAAAGGAAAATGAGTTAACCAAAATTTTTATTTTTTATTTTTTCCCAATACACTGAGTAATATCACAGGAGCGTGAGATTATTTGGACATTTCCACGCTGTTACATATTCGCCACACAAACACTCACTCTTGTGTAGGTGTTAAGAGGTGCATCAGGGTCAGGTACGCCTTCCTCCTCAGAGTCGCTGCCTCTCGTTCATCGTTGTTTGGAGGACTGATGCAAAGGCCAAAGAAGGAGAATCAACACCATGATCACACGCTTGTCCTATGTGTTGCTAGGCAACTAATACAGCAGGCATGAAGAAACCGGGACTGCATGTTGTGACAATGATGGCCAGTTATCAGCTGCCTAGCTTGCAGTGAGTGCCGTCTACTCGCCGCATTCTTTCCATGTCTCACGCACTACAGCGGGGTTACACATTGCTGCTACATTTGCTGGATGTGTGGAGGGTGAATGGAGAGATCACACTTGTGACAGCTATGTCACCAACATCCACCAACAGTCTCCATGAAAGCAAAACAATCCAGTGAGCTACGTTCATACTTGGAGGCACCTGATCATAGTGGATGGACAACGTCTTACATTCTGCTATGTAAATTATATGAAGAGTTCATTTGCAAAAACAGATAACTCCATCTTCACAAACCTTCAGAAAACCCACGTTTCCATCATCTACCTGAGAAAATATCAAACTTAAGTTATCTCTATTTTTGTCATGTAATTTCTACTGAGTCAAATCCACTTAACCTAAGATTGATTGATATTATCTCAAACAACAAAAAATAGTTTTCTAAAAAATTTTACAAAAATGGAGTTATCTGTTTTTGCAAATGAACTCTTCGTATGTACATTGTATAAATGTTGACGTTTACCTGACAGATCTGGTGAGATTTCACTTTGTAGGGGATTTTTCTGCCAAACTTTTCTTTGCACATCCAGACATGAGCTGCAATACGTGGTTTCCAGCTCCCTCTGTAGTCGTTTCAGCAGCATAGCACTTCACAACTGCAGGCTTTAGTTGCTCAGTAAAGCCTTTAATGTGGATGCAGCAGCTTCATTCTGCTGCACCTACAATTCATCGTAATTCAACAATTAAAAGGTAATTGAATAAGCCTACTTGACTCTATATACAATCTAGTCAAAACTTTACTCTAACAACTCATACATAGATATATAATAAGGGAATGTTAAAATGAGTCAT